CAAGTGTTAGGCCTATACTTCTGTATGGAGTCGTAGTCTGGTGGCCAGCACTCCAGAAAAAGTTAACGCTCCTGTGAACCAGCGGAGCACTTCCCAACTGTTTCTATGAATGTCATCTTAGATCTACTACCCACTGCACCGCGGTAAGGCTACAAAGGCTATCTGAATAGATAGTAATAAACCACGGACATACTTACATCTTGAGCAGATTTCGCCTACCTGAAAAAACGGATTACTGCATATCATTCACTAACCTCACGAAAGATTTCAGGGTAGTCATTCCGGATATAAGACTTTGGGACAGGATAATACCAGCTAGCACCTACCCTATTAATTTGTATACGAACGGGTGAAAGAGTTTACTCAAAGGATCTTTGTATTTGAAAATCTTTTTGTTTACCGGGTCACTGTAGTGCTTTTTCAGGCGGAATTTTTGCTATGCGCGAGGCAGTCAAACGTCTCAGCTCTCAGAAAATCATATCCAGGCTGCATTGGGAGCCCTGGAATCTGTTGGCTAAGAAGTTCCCTTTGAACCGGGTACGGGTACCTGGACCAAGTAACAGAGCGGGTAAAGAGATAGTGCACTTCCCTTCCACTTTCGCCATCATCGCAGTGTTTGTGCTCTGTAAGCTCAATATAAGAGAGTAATTCTTTAGAGATGCCAACTCAAGATGAGAAGTTTCAATGCGTGTAATGTGCCCAGAATATAGCTAGAATGGCACATAAGAAGATAAAGTGACCTTATCGAACTAAATAGAATGGACATATTCTTAAAGGGCATATTCTCTTGGGCAGACACGCAGAGAGGTTGGTCATACCATTTGATGATGACAGTTGTTGGCGACAAAAAAAGCAACCTGAGATCTTGAGGTACTTTCTCTGCAAATGTCTCGCACTTTGGAGGAGTCTATGGGGACTCTAGCGAAATGCGGTGACTGCTCCCCTCATTAGTTCGATTAGCGAGTGGTGGTCATTAGGATCCACAGTGTTATCATAATGCCCGCTTGGTGACTAGATGTGTTGATACCCGGCAGCCATTTAAACTAACCAACCAAACAGATAACTTTAGCAAAACAAAAGTAGATTTCATGCTGTCTACAGCTGTTTATGAGGAAAAAGTACAAATTTTTGCAAAACCCCTTCATCGGATCAAAATAACTATTTTCTTTATTCCTTTTTAATTTATTTTAATTTCTTTTATTTTTTTAATTTTTTTTAATTTATATTTATTATTTTTTTAATTTAAAAATTTTTTTTTATTTATCTTATTTTTTCCTTTTTTAATTTTTTTTTTTTAGATTTCATGCTGTCTACAGCTGTTTATGAGGAAAAAGGACAAATTTTTTCAAAACCCCTTCATCGGATCAAAATAACTATTTTCTTTATTATTTTTTACTTTTTTTAATTTCTTTTATTTTTTTAATTTTTATTTAATTTATTTTTATTATTTTTTTAATTTAAAATTTTTTTTTTATTTTTTTTATTTTTTCCTTTTTTAATTTTTTTTTAAGTTTTGTTTTAATTTTTTTTTTTAATTTTTGTTTAATTATTTAAAAAAATTTTTTATACTTTTTAATTTTTGTTTTATTTTTATTTTTAATTTCTTTTTTTATTTTTTTAATTTTTTTTAGTTCTTTTTAGTTTTTTTTAGTCTCTTTTTTTGTTTTTTAATTTTTTTCTAATATATTTTAATTTTTTTTTTTAAGTTTTGTTTTAATTTTTTCTAATTTTTGTTTTAATTTTAAAAAAAAAAATTTATACTTTTTAATTTTTGTTTTATTTTTATTTTTAATTTCTTTTTTTAATTTTTTTTTTTAATTTTTTTTTTGAATTTTTTTTAGTTTTTTTTAGTTTTTTTTATTCTTTTTTGTTCTCTTTTAGTCTTTTTTTTTTGGTTTCCAATTTCGGCGGCTGAAAATTGGTTAAGCATCAGATGGATGGAAAAAATAGTAAAAATTGCATCTTGCTGAATTGATGAATTTCCGCCAACACTGGTGGGTTCCGTTCGCAGCTGCTCTGGTTGCGCTCGTTTCAACAAGCACCGCTTCACTCGCTACGCTCGCTCAGAGAAGGGTCTTGGCACTCATAAAACGTTTATTATGTATATGGTATTTAAAATAATTTATAGATATATATTTATCTTTAATTGCTTTCTTAACAGGTTAATTACTGTAATTTTTATACATTTCAGAATTACCGTTACGAAGGAAGGCAGTGTGTTTCATGAATGGTATCAATATAATTATGCAAAGCAAATATAAAATTAAAAATATAAAACTTATGCAAATAACGAGCTTAAGCAGCGAGCAGAGATCGGGCATAAATAATTGACTCAAAAATTGGTTATATCAATATGTGTGTCTGTATGCACGCGTAATTGCAGTCTTAATTTCATAATATTATTGTATGCAATGCACTCATACATATGTTCTACATACATACATACATAAGTAAACAACAATTTCATATAATAAATGAAATTCCTATCTGCATTTATACAGTTAATACGTATTAATTAATAATAAATTAAGTTGATATAATATTGAAATACAACATAATTATTTGAATACACTTGCTGGCGCAAATAATTGATGTTGTAATACCATTTAAATAATTTTTGCGTATATAATTATTAAATAAGTGACTGATATTTTATATATAATATATAAATCCGTCCGAATGTCCGTTTGTAAATATCCGCATATCTGGAATATGTACTTATCGGTTGACTTAAAATTTTGGCAGATTATTTCTATTATCCCTGGGAAGGTTTAAACGAAATATTTGGAAAGTGGACCAGTAACTGACCAATTTCTCAAAAAATTTTATTCATAGCCAATTTAGGCCGATTTACTTGAAATTCGGTAAGTGACTATTTGTGAGAGAAAATCGTTTTGTTTTTCAGATTGGGTAGTTTTCTTTTACTATAAGTATGCGGTTACCTTAAGTGTGAAAGCGCATAGATCTGAATGGCAAATAAATTAGCAAACAAATAAGTGGATACGTTGATCTATATTCAAGGGGACTAACAAAAGTTCGGCAACTTGACCAGAAAAAATTCTTCTTTTATGTATTCGTAATCTTTGTCCTTTTTTATCTTCTCTACATAATCGCCATTGACTTACTTGCATTTCTTAAGCCTTTAGATCCATTTCTGAAAACAGTCTTCGAAATCCTACTTTTAAAGCCTATCAAGTTCAGCATTAAATTTATTTAATTTTTGGAATTATCCAGAAGCCACAAGGTGACATATCTGCGGAATACGGTGCTGGATGTGTTTCTTCGACACCAAAGATAACAATACATTTATTTCAGCAGTAAGGACCGGCGTGATGTCACGATGTAAAAAGTAGTGTGTCAAAACCACTTTCTCCCTCTTTTCAACAAATTTTCGAAAACTTTCGGTAAGCACTCTTCGGTGTGCCATTTTGCAGTTACCGTCTGATCCTTTCCCAGTGGAATAGTAGTTACGATTTTATACCAGGAGAAGCAAACTGATATCATTACTTTTGCTGCTGAGTTTTGTTGCTTAGATTTTACGGTTCTTTTTTTTGTCACAGTGTGCATTTGATGACGTATGCTGATATCTTTGGCCTCACCAACCCTTACTCTCTGTAGAATACACCAAGAATCGAAGCAACTGGGTCTGGTAGTGAACGAATACCAAATAAGTTATCTCCTGACATCAAAGCAAAGAAAGCCGGAGCACGATCAAACTCTGCAAGTCTCTCACCATTCTTATGAGCAGGCGCCAGAGATATCGGGGAACAGATAGTAAAAACGAGCGAATGCGCTGTAAGAGCTATATTTCGACATTGACATACTCGTCTATATATATATATATATATATATATATATATATATGTTTTTCCAACTAATGAAGGGACCTACAGTTTATATTAAGCCGCCGCCGGATAGCTGATGGTCTTTTTATGAGGAGAGTTTATTTCATGTCAAAAGTACACTGGGGGGTTAACATTCCCTGCCGACGGGCGCCCGCAATTAGAAAATTTAGCTCAATTTTTTATTTAAATTAATTTTCTTTAATTATTCTTTTTTTTGGATTTCGGTCTGACCAGGACTCGAACCTTGGTCTGCCGAATGCTAACCACTCAGCTATTGCAGCCGCCACTTTGACATAGTGCTGTGAGTAAGAGGTAGTGGCTACGCTGGTTAGATCATATCGTCCAGCTTTGAATTTTTTCGGTGCAGCACTCGCCGATGGAAGGAGAGTAGAAACGACAACGTTTACAGGTTATTTAGTCAATTACATCAAATTAAAATCTATTTATGAATGCATAGTATTAGCTGAATTAAGGTTTGATTAATTCATTACACGAGATCTGTTCAAAGCAAATAAAATTGGTAATTCCGCAATCATATTTAAAAGTATAAAATTTTATACTCTTTTTATTTTTTTTTTACGCAAATTAATCATTGACGGGAATCACCGGCAACTAATTTTCAACACCCTACTTTTCAAGTTTGCGTCTGCTAAACTAAGCTAAACATATTCAAGCACGAAATTTGTATCAGCTTGTTGATAGCGACATATTTTCATAAATATTACAGCATATGTAAATACCTGTGTAAGTATACATATTTAAATAATATTTAAGTAGTCTCAGCGATATAAATAATTTATGACCTTACACTCGTACACATATTTATAACAACTTGATATGTACGAAACACCAAACACAAGCACATACATATTTAAATACGTATTTATGTAAACACTTGTGTATGTAGGCAAAGGTAATTTATTAATACGCGAAATATGCACAATCACAGCGTTCATTCATTAAACCCACATACTTTTCTATCGCATGCGAGAAACCGGCATACCTCTCTCCAATTACGAGCATATTTTCATCTATTGCCGGCATCCAATTTATTGCGCTCCCCATTTTACCAACCGCTCACATTCACTCACTCACATTTCATACGACGATTACATTTGAATTTGACTGTTTTTTGGAGATCCATAGCGATCAGACTGGTCGTGTGTTATCAGTTGCGGCTTTGTGCTACACTCGTGCGGTCTTTCGTTGGTCATATCGAATTCTCACAGGTATTTCGAGTGCTCCAGTTCCTTTCCATTTGGATAAAGAAAAGATATAAAAAGTGTTATTGTGTTCTTTCTGAGATATGTTTTGAGTGCACCGCGCTTGGAAAATAATATTTAAATTTTATACGTTTTGGTCGCAAATTAAGTAAAAGTGTGTATCTATTTCATTGATATATATTTATTATATTATATTATCAGTGTTTGCATGTGTTTTCTTCGCCTGCCATAGTACTTGACATTGGTGTCAAATTAAGTACTTTACAAATGGCATAATTTTTGCATAAAATATAAATATTTTTATATTAAATTAATTACTAAACAAAAACTGAGTGCATTCATTGTGCTTAGTTGCGTAATTAAGATTGAGAGTGTGTCTGGTGCCAGAGGATCACAGTAAGTAAGCCTGCATAGAGCAGGAGCTCTGTGATAAAAAGTATTATTAATCAACAATTACACGTAGTTAAGGAAACTTTGTATGGATGTGGGTAAAAACATAGAATGAACAACGTTGTTGCTATTTCAACACTGTGATCTCAGTTGATTGCTCAAAGCAATTGCAATTTTATTTTAATACATTTGCACATGCAAAAGTTATTTTTGGTTTTCAATTTTAATTCGTTTTATTTCTTAAAGAAATGTTAATCTTACATCAGTCAAAGTGATTGATTACCTTTTAAATCAAAAATAGCCAATATATAATTATAATATATAAATATAAAAAAATTATTTAACTCAAAAATTTATTTAAAAAAATTATATATTGGCTATATATACTATATATATATATATATATATATACTATGGATGCATATTATTGTATATGTATGTAAATATCTAGTGATTGAAAAAGTGCTGTGTTTTTCAATATGTATATACGCAAAAGTTTTATATAGCTGTTTAAAAATTGAAGTCGAAAATAAAGAAACATTTTTGACATTTATTTCTAAAAAATATTTTTTGAAACATGAAAAAAAAAAATTTCAATTGATTTGGTAGAAACATTAAAATTAATTTTTTATCGGTTTTATCCGAAACGAAAAGCTGTCGTTCATGTTAAATCGTTAACAGATAATGTTAAATCGTTAACAGATAATGTTAAATCGTTAACAGATAATGTTAAATCGTTAAGATATCATGTTGAACCGCTAACATACAATGTTAAATCGTTTAAAGATAATGTTAAGTCCTTAATAGATAACTTCGAATCGTTAACAGATAATGCCAAATGAATAACAGATAATGTTAAATCGCTAACAGATATTGTTGAATCGCTAACAGATACTGGTAAATCGTTAACAGATAATGTTATATCATTAACAGCTAATTTTAAACGTTAAAATTAAAGTTTTGTGTTAACATCATAGCAAACAGCAATTAAAATTAAAATTAACATTAACGATGAAATTTTTGCGGCTTTAACATTAACGATTTCATATCGTTTTCTTAACAAGGCGCCGAAATGAAACGATTTAAATTTGTTGTTTTAATTTTTATTTTTAGCGAAACAAAATTATAGCGATGCGTTTGATGCTGTTATAAACACTTTAAAGGAAAACTTTATGGCATTTTATTCACATCGTAAGAGTTTTCGAAAAATATTGGTTATCAGGAAACCAGAAGAAAGAATTTCGAAACCTGAAAAAAATATTTACAAGTTACATGTAGGTTGCGAAAACTCGTGTATGTTAATTTTGTTTGTTCTCGAATTAATACATATGCAGGCGCCTTCCATTGTCTTTGTTTTTATCCGCTAAAATTTTCACAAACTTAATTGAAAAATTGACGTTATTCCAATCTGATCTGAGTCAAGTCAATTGACCGCATGCTTTATTTCTTACTCATGCCGTACTAAGCACATAAAAATTAGATAAATATGAATGTATGTATGTACTCAAATTTGTCTTCATTAGGGCGAGTCGAAACATTTACTTCCTCATTGGCGTAGGCTACGCTAATAACGATTATAGCGCGCTAGTCTTTTCTATTTAGCACTGTTTGGCGCCAATTGGAAAAGTCACGTAAAACCAGTTCGCTCAGCACATGATCCTTTCACCGGCATGGTGGTCTTTCATTTCATCTGCTTCCACCAGTGGATACTGCGTCGAATCCTTTCACATCCATGCGGATGGCTTCACATAAATATTCGCCATTGCCAATACCTAAAGTACTATAAATCTTCCGCTCCTAAACAACCAATCTAGGCAAGGCGGGAATGATGAGGGAGTCTACACTCGAGTGCCTTGATTGTTTCATTTGATGACTGGATATCTTTGGTCTTGTTTGTAATCATTATTATATTCAATCGCGGTTATTTAGCTTTATAGGTCTTAAATTTTTCTTCAAAAGGAAATTACTTCACAGTTCTGACTGCTCTTCTAACTTCGTACAGCATCAGTTTAGACAGCCGTATGAGTTTTGGGGGTATACCAAACTCAGGTATACTGTCAGAGCTCTTATTCTTTGCTTATAGGTCTTTTCCAAGATTTGACACTCGGTAGTTTTTTGGCCTATGGTGGATCGACCAGGTCTAAAGCCACACAATTAATTCATTTTCGGCGTGCTTAAGAGGTTGCATAGGTTTTGAAGACCAAAAAAAGCTTTTTTTTAAAAAAATACTAAATAAAGTAAACAATTAATTTTGTTTACATATAAAAGTACAATATATGGACAAGATTTGATGAAATTTTGATGGAAAAATAGTATAAGTTAAAGAGTTGGCAGTGTCGTGAAGGAGACCGTCCACAAGAAAGTGCTTTCCCGGTAGTCATGATAACTTTTTCAATTTTTATCTGAAATCAGAAATTCAAATATTTTTTTTTTTTAAATGGATAAATTTTCCTGGTCCCTGAACAAAGACGTTGAAATCAAAAATAAAATAAATTCTACGTTCTGGGACTACAAAAAAATGCTTAAAAGAAGTGTGGAAAATTTGAACTCGATCGCTTCAATTGTTCATTGAGCAATTTTGACTACCGATTTCGATAAAATGGTTTTAGGAAAAACGCGTTTAAAGTTTCGCCATCGGTCAAGTCATGACAAAGACTAACCCGCCGTCTTCTCTCTAATTTCTACAGTTTCGTCTCGATAGACTTGAAACTTGGGGAAAATATTCTTGACACTTTTATACAAAATATCATCAAAAAAAGAATTTTTTGAAGTTTCAAGACCTATGTAACAGTACGCTAGATACGAGTAAGCTTGTTGAGCTTACTTCTCGTGACATACCGACATGTGTTTAAGCTGCTGAAAAATTGAACATCCTTAATCCGCTTTAAGTTTCATATGTGCAGTGGCGGTATATTTTGATTACGATCAGTTTAGATTAATCAACGCTTGTGAGGCCAGTGCATAAAGTTTTAACACAATTGCAATGAAGACGATATAACAAGTAAGGAAGAGTTTGGGGAAAATGCCACAAAGCATTAGATATCGCTGTTTTAGACCTATAGAATGTAACAATGAACGCTGCAGACCCTGTTCACAAATCTGCGAAGAATATCTGCACCATGAGTGATCAAAATTTCTCTTCGGTCCTGTAAGCCATTTCACATTTAGTTGATTTACTATATTCTTACCGCAAACAAATTTTGGGATCTGGGGGACAAGTGTTAAGACTTGGAACTTACAAGGCAATATGCTGGCCGGTATTTACCCCGTGGGTAATTGAAGTAGCTAAAATCTTTTTAGAGCACCACTTTGTGGAGGATAACTGGAAATCCTCTGATATTAGCTACTTACACAGTGAAATATATACCTTTAACCCTCGTTAAAGAGAATAATGCGCCTGTTGTCTGCGTAGTATCTTCTGGGAAACTACCGTTGGGTTGAATGTTGTATCTGCTGGAAACTTGAGCTATTTAAAACCGTGGCACAGGGCAGGTTCTAAATGTCATTCGCAGAGAGTCTAACAACATTCTTTCCGTGAATGAACCATAGCAGAAGAAGATCTCGAGCTGTCTCGCGACGCAATAAGTCATTTTTTAGGCCCACCGTTCGATGGAGCGGGGCTGAGTAAGCCCTTACAAGAACAACAGCAAACGTTAGCTGAGATCATGAATTCATTTCCATATAATGAAATTAGCTCATTAATATCACCCAATGAAAAAGCGTTGAAATTTCTGATATATCATCATTTAGGTAATAAAATTATTCGCCGAAAAAAGTATTTCTCCTATTTGAAATATTTTTTTTTTTTCAATCCAGCAAAGAGGAATGAAATTTTGGAAATTAATACGGTAATTGACTTTTTCACGTGAATTCGTCTCAAAATTCGTTTTGCATTAACGTACATAATATACATATATACATGATATACATATATATAAATTTACATATATATGTTTACATTTATACGTACATATTGTGAGGAAGCAAGTGTTATTATTTGCAATCAAGATAAATGTCTTGATCACAGACAGACGCTTTGCAAATACATATCTACATACTTATGCATATCATCTCTGTATACGGCGAATGTATGTACACGTATGTATGTTTGTATGTATGGTAATGAAGGTGTACTTACAAGTACACATTCATGAACGGGAAACGACAAAATTCTTGAAAGTCAACAAAAGATTCGGTATTCGTACGAATATATGTATGTATATGTATGTATGTATATACATATGTATAAGCAAATACAAGTCTAAATAAAAATATTTATATGAGACTCGATCAAATCACTGTTTGAGAAGCGTGTATCAGAGGAAGTGTTAATTAAGAGATTTTTTCTTCCATATGTTAAATATTCGCAAGTGCATACGAGGTGTGTTCAAAAAACATTGCGAAGTTTGTGTTTTTTCAAAAATTATTTATTTATTCGGTGGCTGCGGCATCATTAGTGTGTTGTTTTTGGCCAAATAGTCGCGCACAAGCAACGATGTGTGAGCAGGGGCGTTATCGTGGTGCAAAAGCTAATTTTTGTTCTTCCACAAATCCGGGCGTTTCTGGCGGATTGCTTCGCGCAAATTGCGCATAACTTGCAGGTAATATTCCTTATTGACCGTTGTACCCTGTGGCAAGAACTCATGATGCACCACGCCCCTGCAATTAATTTTTTCGTCTGTTGTTGAAGTGCTCGGGCGTCCGGCTCGCTCTTCGTCGTTTACATCTTCTCGACCCTCTGAGAACATTTTGTACCACCGATAA